CCTTTTTTTCTTTTTCTTTTTTTCAGTGGGTGGGCTGGAAGCAGGTATCTGGGATTTATTTATCTTCTATAATTGAAACTTTGTAGCCTTGAGCAGAGCTGAGGGCCGGCCAGGGCAGGAGGGAAGCTTGGCTTCCGCCATCGCTGGGGGCAACCCAAGCCTCCTGCTCTCTCCAGCTCCATGGCTGCTGCCATCTTAGTTGGGTTAATTTGCATACATGCTCCTGATTGGCTGGTGGGTGTGGCTTGTGGGTGTAGCGGAGTGACAGAGTGATGGTTAATTTGCATCTTTCTCTTTTATTAGTGTAGATAAGGTTTTTACTTTTGTGTGTCTTTTTCTTCCTGAAACAGCTTTGAGTCAGGGAGCCTCCTGGACTATTTTCTTGGTCTCTTATCTCCCCATTAATATATAGTTTTTGTTTCTGTGTCTTTTTGTTTTTGCCTGGGAGATGCTCTTGATTTTTCTTTAACTTCCTATGGAATGTTTGATTTTAACAGACACATTGGCAACTTAGAAGTGTTTTTTCTTGCTCTTTTTCATAACATCATGCTCCTGTTTTCAGATGATCTCCTTACTACTTTCATGATTAGGAGATTTTTAAAAAGTTTTCTTCTGTTCTCTGAGTTGTCTTTATTTAATGTTGGTGAGTCTTAAATTTTATCTTCCATGTTGCCGGTTTTCTTTATTACATCTGATGATCCTTGGGTTATCCATTTTTATTTAAGAACTAGAGGCCTGATGCATGAAATTCATGCAAGAATAGGCCTTCCTTCCCCCGGCTGCCGGCACTGGCTTCCCTCTGGCACCTGGGACCTGGGCTTCCCTCTGGCTGCTGACAGGCACCCAGGACCCGGGCTTTTCTTGCAGCCCCGGCTTCGTCCAGAAGGTTGTCCAGAAGGATGTCCAGGCTAATTAGTATATTATGCTTTTATTGTTATAGATGATGAGGGACTAGGCTGATTAGTCTAGAGAGCCTTATAGGATTTTCTACTGCTGTGTATCCAGTTTCCTTCCTACTGGTACTTCCTTATGAGAATGAAGTTCTCTGTGTGTGGGCAGGGATTTGCAGGGGCTGGGAGTGAGCCTTTAGCCTGAGGAGCCCGCAGTGGTAGAGTAGGTGGGCTGTAACCTGGTGTACAGGGAAGTTCTTTAGCACCTAGAAGTCTCCCCAGGTCATTCATTATTTTTTTTTTTTAGAGTAGAGTGCCCTGGTAAGGAGGGAGAGCAGGGAGGGGGGAGGTAAGAGAAAGGGGAGCTAACTGTCAGGCTTTCTGTACATAAACAGGCTTATTTAATAGTCAAAGACTTATACAAGGGCCTTAACTAAATCTGAACTTGGTCAGCATCTTTACTCTCTCCCTGCATAATAGAAAGACCTTGGCTTGCCCTAAGACTGATTTCCCTCTTCATAGCTTAGATGTTATGGACAGGATTTAGCTTATATAATACACGATACCGCAAATAACACCCCAATATATAAAGCAAGCCCAGCTGCACACCACCTGTTGGCCGTGCCCTCGTTCTCAGTGTCCTCTCGGCTGGGTCCTAGGCCTGTGGGCTTTAGAGTAGGTGGAGAAGCATTTTCAAGTCTGGTGCTATCCTTATTTTAGACCCAGGACCCTGAAGCCCGGGGCCACTTAGCTTTCTGAGCTTTGGTTATCACATCTGTGTGCCTCAGAGCTGGGCTGTGAGGATGCCACGCTAATGGGTGAGAAAGCATTTACATGTGCATTTTATTTACATGTGTATTTTTATTGATTTAAAATATTTATGATATATTTGCTTATTCACGTAAGGTTTTCTACAGTTTAAAAAACGTTATTAATGATTTCAGAGAGAGGAAGGGAGAGGGAGAGATAGAAACATCAATGATGAGAGAGAATCATCAATTGGCTGCCTCCTGCTTGCCCTCCTCTCCGCTCCCCCCGGGGATTGAGCCTGAAATGGGATCTCCTGGTTGATGGATCAACATTCAACCACTGAGCCACACCAGCGGGCTACATGTGTATTTTTAAACATAAGCCATACAATCACTAACTGCCTTGCCTGCTTAAAGTCTTATGCATGACTTTATAGACTAACTTTTTGGTTTCGACAATAGAAAAATCAATATATTTTTCTCTCTTTTTAAAAATTTAGGTGTATCCAATTGAAACAGGCAGTTGACGAAAATAAAAATGCTCTTCAAAAATTAAGCAAAGTAAGTATTACAGACACTCATATCCCAGAACATCTGTCTCACAGATGTTTCCATGCAGACTGACTCTCCATTTGGGAACCTGCGGATGCGTTTCCCAGATGTGGAAACAGGTTCCAGAGGTGGAGCAGCTTTCCCGGCTCACTGCCCGGGAGGGGGCGCTTGGGAGGGGCTGCCTTCATGACAGAGCCGTCTGCCTGGGAGGTAGCCCTTCCCACTGCAGAGCGTCTGCAGGACCTAGAAGGGAACACAACAAGAAGCAAGTTAATTTAATTTTTCGTTTGGTTTACATTCTAACCATCCTCATTTCTTTTCATCTTATTTGCCTAACGGAGGCCTGGTCTCATACTGCTATTTACTTTGTCTTCTAGCACATATAGGAGTTGTCTTTTCTTTTAAAGTAAATACAATAGAAAACAAATACATTTTTCAGTGAAATGGACTCATGTTCTCTCCAGGCTGATGAACCCGCACCTGTTGGAAACTATCATCAGAAAAAGGAGGAGGAGCTCAGTCTCTTGGACAACCTGACCCACCAACTGCAAGAACTCGCCGTGTCCATAAGTAGAGAAAGTAGAACTGAGTATGCTCTTCCCTTCCTTCTTTCAGACGTGAGGCCACCAGTTTGAATGTTTCACTCAGGATGTATAGCAGTACAGCTGTAAGCGAGTGGCCGTGGCAGGATAGTCAGTGGACACTGGTCACAGGGCAAGTAGACAGTGTGAGAGCCCAGGAGTCATGCAGAAGGCGCAGTCCTGCTTGGTTCATGTTCACTGACGTCCAACAGCCGTGTTGTGTATTTGTCCAGATTTTAGAGCTGTTTCTGGTTTGAGGGTTAAGTTCAATACCAGCTACTTTGTCCTTCTCGGTACTGGAAATCAGTGGGAGTTCTAGAGTCCTTGCACCTCCATCCTTAGCATTTTCCCAGGATACAGCATAAAGATAAGGGAGCAGCATTTGAGGACTCGGAATAGTTGATGTGTTCCTTTCTGCTTCCCGCAAATTGGGCTTGTTTAGATCATCAGGTTCCTTCCACTTTGCAAAGGCTGTTACTCGCCCTCCAGCAGGAAGCAGGGCATGTTCCTGCCTCCAGCTTTCAAAGAATAGTTATGAAAGGAGAGTGTATGCAAGCAGATGATCCAAATAAATTTTTTTTTTTACATATGAACATTGACATCAAAGGCAGCATCTTTATTTTCATACATCTGTTTATTTAGCTTTTCAGATCTCGACTTTGTTCCCCAACTAGATGATAAATTACCTGAGGGCAAAATTGTGACTTCCCTTCTTTCCCCCTCCTATGGGACCTGACACTTTCTGCTGCAGTCTTCGTATGAATACTACACAGCACTTCAGCAGTATGTTTGGGGCCACTTTAAATGACAGAATTGCCAACAAAAAGCACAAAAATGCAAAATTCCTGGTACTAAATAGATTGTAAAAAGGACACTTGTTTTCAGTCCAAGAGCCGAAAAGAGAAGGCAGAGTGTCGCCTTGTTCAGCCTCTGCTGTGAGCGTGTGCATCGGGCAACTAGGATTTTTTGCTGCTTTGCACTCATCTGTGCAAGAACACAGAAGCACTGCAAGTGTTGATTGGGGTTACCAGATACATTTTAGCAAGTAGGTGAATTTACAGATATGGAATCTGCAAGTTGTAAGGATCAACTCTATGCAGAAATCAATATGACAACAGAGGCACAGGAGTAGCTTAAAGGGCCAGCAGGGTACATGGGATGATATCATCTTAAAGGTCTTTCATTTTGGGTGAAATGTAAGATTAATTCAGGTTAGACTATGATAAGTTAGGGATGCATATTGTAAAACCTAGAGCAGTCACTACTAAATAAGGGAAAGAAGTAGCGAAGAAAACCAACATAAACAATAAAATGAAATCCTAAACACGACCACTTTAAAGGTAAGCTTCTACAACGTAAGCTGTAGGAGTCTCCCAAGCACACAGTGTCTGTCGCGCAGTAGGTGTCCTGTAAACATTTGATGACTTTGCTGAATGTTGAATGAATAAGTAACACTCAGAGTTTTAGTGACTTATCCCAGCCAGTATTATTTGAACTCCTCTCCCTTCCCTCACCTTCCATTTTACCTCCTTCATATCTTTCCAAAGTCTTTCTCTTCCTCCTTAATCCTGTTTTCTTAGCCCATACTGTGGGCCTGTGTCACTCGTAACAACCATCTTTCCTTTAGCCCTTCCTCCAGTCTGTCCCCCATGTGTAGCCATCTTTCTAAAGTGCAGAGCAGATCCTGCCCTTCTCTTACTTCATCTTAGGGACTTTACTTCTTTGCATGATGCTCACCTCTTCGCAGCCTCACCTCTCCCATTTCTCCAAGCCTGTCCTGCCATTAGTGACCTACTCGAGGTTCCCTGATCTTGAGCCTCCTTTCTCCCTTCCTCTCCTCCTCGCTACTTCCTTTTACCTGATTAACTCCAACTCATCTCTCAAGACCTATTTCTGAGTCCTTCCTGATCCGCCGTCATGCGGTCTAGGTTAGGCGTCCCTCTTGTGTTTCCTTAGCATCCCGTGTGCCTCCAGGCTAGTGCCTATTGAGCTCTGGAGTAATTGTCCATTTTCTAGATTCTCCTTGGGAACGGGGAATCGAGTCTGGCTCCCTGTGTAGCCACTGTGTCTGACACGGACCAGCGTCGTCAGCGCTGACCTTTATTACAAGCGTGCTGTGGGGCAGACGCTGTTCCAAACACTGCGAGTTGGTAACTCATATACTCCTCATGAAGCAAGTGCTATTATTATCTCCACTTTATCAATGAAGAATGCGGAGCTTATGATTTACTGCCTGTAAATCACAGTTATTCCTCAACAAGCAGGAATAGAGCCAGAATTTAAACAGCCCGTGCTCTAAGCACTGTGCGCTGATTAATGCTCAAGCAGTTTGCTGGGTAGATGAGTCCAGGATCAGAGTGCACGTCTCTTGGCCTCTAGTCCCGTGCATGCTCTCCCTGTGGCTTACCTTCCTGCTATATAACTCCTTCACCACGCAGTCCCTCAAGCCCCATATTCTTAGCTGGATGGTAGAAACCATTAGCTGTGCTTTTTCCTTATTTTCTTTATTTGCTAGTTTCAAATATGGCCAGTTCTTCTATGTAGAGAAGTTACACTCATACTTCATCTGTTCTTAAGTACTATTTCAAGTGATCCTTGTCATAGAATTATTTTTTTGCAGAATTGAGGCACTTACCGAAAGAGAGGAAGATAATGATTTTGCTGAAGAAGATGAAGACGACAACGATGATGACAAAGAAGAAAGTGAAGAAAGTAGTGGGGAGGAAGAAGAAACAGAAGAGGACGAGGAAGAGGAAGAGGAGGAGGAACAGGAAAATGAGTCTCAGCGGCAGGCAGCAGATGAAGAATGCATTGCTGTTGGAGATTTTGTTGCTCAGCAGGCTGGGGACCTTACGTTTAAGGCAGGTAGAAACGAGACTGGAACCTAAGCTCAGGACCAATTTGCATACCTAACAGGATAAGGAGATTCTCCCTGGGTACTTGTGTTACATATTCCTGATACTAAGTTTTTGAATGCTCCATCCATTTAAATAAAATAAGTCATAGTTATGGTTTAATAAGTAGTCATGTGAAATTGTTATCAAAGTTACATGGTAGTAAAATGGTAAAAGCAATATTACTCTTCTACTTTTTATTTTATTTATTATCCTTTTAAGACTTTTTGTTAATTTTTCAATTGCAGTTGACATTCAGTATTCTGTTATATTAGTTTCAGATGTACAGCATAGTGGGCAGACAATCGTATCCTTTACAAAGTGGCCAACCTGATATTTCAGGTACCTACCTGGCACCGCACATAGTTATTAAAATATTATTGCCTGTGTTCCCTATGCTGTGCTTTACATCCCATGGCTATTTTGTAACGATTACTTTGTACTTCTTAATCCTGTTTCACTCTTTTCACCCAGTGCCCTGAATCCTCTCCCCTCTGGCAGCATCAGTCTGTTCTCTGTGTCTATGAGTCTGTTTCAGTTTTGTTTGTTGATTTATTTTGTTCTTTAGATTCCATATATATGGAAGTATATATGTGGAATCTATATGGAATCTATGTGGAATCTATAAAGTATTTTTCTTTCTCTAACTGATTTATTTTACTTAGTACAGTGCCCTCTATGTCTATCCATGCTGTTGCAAATGGTAAGATTTTGTTCTTTTTTATGGCTGAGTAATATTCCATTGATTATATGTACGATAGCTTTTTTATCCACTCATCTATTGATGGGTAGGTACTTGGGGTGCTTCCATGTTTTGGCTGTTGTAAATAATGCTACAGTGAAATAGGTGTTCATGTATTCTTTTAAATGAGTGCTCTGGGTTTCTTTGGCCACATACCCAGAAGGGGAATTGCTGGGTCATAAGGTAGTTCCATTTTTAACTTTTTGAGGAAACTCCATACTGTTTTCCATTCTGCATTCCCACCAACAGTACACAAGGGTTCCCTTTTCTCCACATCCTTACCAACTCTTGTTTGTTGATGTATTGATGTTAGCCATTCAGTTAAGTGTGAGGTTTTAATTTGCATTGTGGTTTTAATTTGCATCTCTTTGATGATTAGTGCATTGAGCATCTTTGCATATGTCTATTGGCCATCTGTATGTCCTTTTAGGAGAATTGTCTATTCAGGTCCTTTGCCCATTTCTTAATTGGATTGTTTTTTGGTATTGATTTTCATAAGTTCTTTATAAATTTTGGATATTAATCTCTTATCAGATGTATGGGCAAATATGTTCTCCTTCAGTGGGTTGTCTTTTTTTTTTTTCCTTTACTGGAATCAAACCTGGGACCCTTCAGTCTGCAGGCTGACGCTCTATGCACTGAGCCAAACCGGTTAGGGCCAGTGGGATGTCTTTTCATTTTGTTCATGGTTTTCTTTTCTGCACAAAACCTTTTTAATTTGATGTAGTCCCATTTGTTTGTTTGTTTAATTATTTATTTTTTCATTGCTTGAGGCAATATATCAGAAAAAATACCATGCTGAGAAATGTCCAAGATTTTACTGCCTGTGTTTTCTTCTAGAATTTTTATGGTTTTGAGTCTAACATTTAAGTCTTTTTTTTAAAAAATATTCTCTTGTATTTATTATTATTATTTAAAAATATATTTTTATTGATTTCAGAGAGGAAGGGAGAGGACGAGAGAGATAGATGCATCAATGATGAGAGAGAATCATTGATTGACTGCCTCCTGCAAGCCCCACACTGGGGATCAAGCTGGAACCCCGGCATGTGCCCTGACTGGAATTGAACTGTGATCTCCTGGTTCCTAGGTTGATGCTCAACCACTGAGCCATGCCAGCTGGGCCCGCGTTATTTTTATTAATATAGCCTTGTAGGATAGTTTCTTTTAATGTGTTTTCTTTTTAAAAAATTTTTTTCTTTCTTGTATTATAGTTTGATATCAGGTATCTCTGACTTTGTTTCTGCCCTCCTCCTTGAGATTGCTGTGCGTATTTGGGGTCTTTTGTGGTTCCAAATAAATTTTGGGATTATTTGTTCTGGTTCTGTGGAAAACACCATTGGTATTTTGATGGGGATTGCATTGAATCTACAGATTGATTTGGGTAGTAAGGACATTTTAACAATATTAATTCTTCCTATCTATGAGCACTATATATGCCTCCATTTATTTGTATCTTCTTCAGTTTCTAATAATTTCCTGAGTACAAAGAAACAGACACAAAACAAAACAAAACAAACAAAAAATATTTTCCTGAGTACAGGTCTTTTACCTTCTTTGTTAAGTTTATTTCTAGTTATTTTAATTTTTTTACATATTTTTATTGATTTCAGAGAGGAAGGAAGAGGGAGAGAGAGAGATAGAAACATCAATGATACGAGAGATTCATTAATTGGCTGCCTTCTGCATGCTCCACACTGGGGATCAAGCCTACAACCCAGGCATGTGCCCTTGATCGGAATTGAACCTGGCACCCTTCAGTCTGCAGGTCGACGCTTTACCCACTGAGCCAAACCAGCTAGGGCTATTTCTATTTTTTTTTTTGGATGCAATTGTAAATGGGATTATTTTCTTAGTTGCCCTTTCTGATCTATCTATATATAAAAGCCCAGCGGGGTCTCTAGTCCTATATAATAAAAGGGTAATATGCAAATTGACTGAACGGTGGAATGACCAGTCACTATGATGCACACTGACCACCAGGGGGCAGATGCTCAGTGCAGGAGCTGCCCCCTGGTGGTCAGTGCACTCCCACAGCGCTGCTTAGCCAGAAGCCAGGCTTAGGCAGGCGAGTGCAGCAGTGGTGGCAGGAGCCTCTCCCACCTCCATGGTAGCACTAAGGAAGGAGCAGCGAGCGAGCAGTAAGGAGCAGCGAGCAGGCGGGTGATAAGTAGTGAGGGATCCGGACTGCAAGAGGGATGTCCGACTGCTGGCTTAGGCCCGATTCCCACAGGAAGCAGGCTTAAGCCAGCAGGCAGACATCCGGGAGGGGTCCCAGACTGCAAGAGGGCACAGGCCAGGCTGAGGGACCCCCGCAGTGCATGATTTTCGTACACTGGGCCTCTAGTTGGTGTATAAAAATACAACTGATTTCTGAATATTTATTTTGTGTCCTGCTACTTTACTGAATTAATTTATCAGTTCTAGTAGTTTTATTATAGAATCTTAGGGTTCTCTGTATACAATATCATGTCATCTGCAAATAATGCCAGTTTTCCTTTTTCCTTTACAATTTGGATGCCTTTTATTTCTTATGGTCCGATTGCTGTGGCTAGGACTTCCAGTACTATCTTGAATAAGAGTGATAAAAATGTACATCCCTGTCTTGTTCCTGATCTTAAGGGAAATGCTTTTAGTTTTTCCCATTGAGTATGATGTTGGCTGTGAGTTTGCCGTGTCTGTTCTTATGTTGAGATATGCTCCCTCTATTCCCACTTTGCTGAGAGTTTTTATCATAAATAGGAGCTGGATTTTGTCACATGCTTTTCCTGCATCTATTGATATGACCATATGATTTTTATCCTTCATTATATTTTAAAAAATAATTTTAATGTTAGTAATTCTTATTTTAAGAGCAAAATTTAATTTAAAAATTTTACTTTGTTTTTCTTTAAGAAAGGGGAAATTCTCCTTATAATTGAAAAACACCCTGATGGTTGGTGGATGGCTAAAAATGCCAAAGGAAACAAAGGTCTCGTTCCCAGAACCTACCTGGAGGTTAGTATTTGTTGCTTATTCTTTTCTTTTCCTCCTTCAACACCTTTTCACTTTTCATAAAAGTTAAGCTGTATTCTTCGATCAACTGACTATTAAATGACTTGAGGTATAGAATTTGCTTTAATTCTGAGGGACAAAGCATGGAGAAATACTGTGTGTTAACAGTCCTGGGACCTGTGAGTGTTCTCATGCAGGTGAGCCCTACAATGTCACCTCATAATAAAGATGCTGTATGGGTTTGTGCTGATCATAAAAATTAATAGGTGTTTAGTATTTGTTATAAAGCAAAACCACAGTAAACTTTGTGTTTACTTCCACGCATATATGATCCCAACTAGGATATGAACATACTCTACATTCATGTTTGTGACCTATTGTTTTCCATATTTCATGAAATAGCATGGTCATTTTCTGTGACAATACATATAGATAATCTATTGGGATCATTATGTGGACATGAGATTAAAGCCTTGGCCTTTGGGGACCGAATTCCCTCTCCAGCTCCTTTCCCCTTCCTGAATGGGGGAGGGTGCGGTGAAAGTTCCAGTCCTCTAATCACAGGGTTGGTTTCTCTGGCAAATAGCACCCTCACCCATCACCGCATTAGCATAGACTCAAGTACAATTATGAAGAACAGGACACTTCTGTCAGTCAAGACATTCCAAGCATTTTAAGAACTCTTGGCAAGAACTGGGAATAAAGACCAAATATATGTTTTTCATTATACCACATATTTTAAAAAGTAAAAAAGAAACAGGTGACATGATTTTTAATAATATATTTTATATTATTCAACATATCAAAAATATTACCATTTCAAGATCTGATCAATAGTAAAAAATTATTTTTTATGCTAAGTTCGAATTCCTGTGTGTATTTTACACTTAAATAGCGCATCTCATTTTGGAGGAGTCGCAGCAGCCACAGGAGGCGAGTGGCTGTCCTATCCCACAATGGGTCTGGCTCATCTTTTCGGTGGCAGCACAGTCTTCCAGCTCCACAGGTGGACATTCAGGTTGTTTCTGCCTATCACAGCCATCAATTTTGTGGTGAAGAAGCTATGGTTAGCTTCCATTATGAGTTACAAGAGATCCCCAAATAGTGGCTTAAATTAGGTAGAAGCAGATTTCTCTCGTGCTTGGCAGAAGGTGGAGGTAGCAGTCAAAGGGTGCTGAGGCCCACGAATGTTTCCCTCTGGGCAGGTGGGGGCAGCTCTCTCAGGGGTATCTCTGTAGCTTAAGTTGGCTGCTAGATCTTTTAACAGTTCCTAACAGCAAAAGAGAAGGAAAGGGAACAAGATGTCAAAACGCCCAAACTTCCATCTTTTTAAGACGGTTTCCTGGATGTTACTCAAAAAACTTCCAATTATATCAGTTCTTTTCAACGTCTAATGGCAAGAAGGGCTCGGAAACCTAGTCTCTTTGCCGGCTCTGGCTGGAGGGAGGGATTCTGTCAGAAAGGAGGAGGTGGAGGTTCAGCCGCAGACCCCCACAGCCTCTGTGATGCTCTGTCCGTCAGGCGAGTTTGTAGACTCCCTCCTTGCCCCCTGGTAGAGCCCGATGCACCTTTACATTTGGACTGAATTTGCTGTTTTGTCTTTCAGAAAGTTAGGCCTACTTGTTCTCCACCCCAGTGTCAAGAAAACAGGCTTCCCCACACATCTTCAGTCATAGCCATCGTCAGTCTTCCTGCCAATGTGATGGCAAAAAAGGCTTGTGGTTGTTTTTAAAAAAATATTTTTATTGATTTCAGAGAGGAAGGAAGAGGGAGGGAGAGACAGAAACATCAGTGATAAGAGAGAATCATTGATCAGCTGCCTCCTGCATGCCCCGTTCTGGGTATTGCCTGCAACCCAGGCATGTGCCCTGACTGGTAATCGAATTTTGACTTCCTGGTTGATAGGTAGATGCTCAACCACCGAGCCACACCAGCAGGGCTTGTGGTTGTTTTCATTTGCATTCATGGGCCTGGGCTTCATGTCACATGCTTTATGACCATTTCTGTTTCTTCTTTGTAAATTGCCTTTTCAGTTCTTTTGACCATTTTTATAAGGGGTTTTTAAAACTCATTGATTTATTGGCATTTTTGTACTATTTTAATAATAAGGATATTAACTCTTGAAAATTTGTGACAAATATTTTCTTTGTTGACTTTCAACTATGTTTATTTTTTATGTAGCTAAGTCTGTCAGTGTTTCTTTTCATGTATGATTTCTGGTTTGGGTGTCGTAATTGGAAATGGCTTCCCCATCTCAGGATTATTTTCTTCTCATGCTGTTCGAGTTCTTTTGTTTGTACCTTTACTTCCTTTTTTTAATTTGAATAAATTCTATCTGGAATGTATTTTGATTAAACGTTCTCTCTACCTTTATCCTTGTAATTTTCCAAATAGTAAAATGATCAACTACATATTGAAATCTTCTTACCACTGACTTTTTAATATGCCCCTCATGTAAATTCGCATCTACACTCAAGTCTCTTTGAAAGTCATTGTATTGGTTGATTTTTGCACTAGGTAAGAAAAGTGCCTTATATTTCCCTCATTTTCAGCCCCATCGTAAAGAAGAAGGCCACGAGTCATGTGAAGAAGGCAGTGAAGGTGATGCGGATGGGGCGGAAGAGAGAGCGGAGGGAGCACAAGTTGAGCATAGGTACCAAGGCCTGAGGGGATATCAAAGTCAAATAGATGAAAGGTTTGGGAAACTTTGTTTATTTTTACATTGTGAATAATTCAGGATTTTTTTGGTGAGAGACAACTTGCAGTTTGTGAACAGTGCTTTTCATATTGCTGTTTGCTTAAAGATCATTGCTACTTTAATTTTGTGATTATTCTTTCTTGGTTTCATCTGGATACTGTTAGGTTTTCAGAACGTACGGACAGCCCTGGCTGGGTAGCTCAGTTGGTTATAGCATTGTCTGATAGGCCACGGTTGTAGGTTTAGTCCCTGGTAGGGCACATACAATAAGCAACCAATGAATGCATAAATAAGTGGAACAACAAATTGATATTTCTCTCTCCCTTTCTCCCTCTCTCTTTCCTCTCCCTAAAAAACAAACGAACACACCCCAAAACCTTTTCTCTCACAGTTTTGGAAAAGGAAAAAAAGGCCTTACTGATGGTTATGTACTTTGTTCTTTGGTTAATGAAGTTTCCTAACCAAGTGAATAAGCGTGACCTGTCTGTGCGTTCATGGTGCTGTTTTGTCTTCCAGAACTGACGCTCACTGGAGTGCTGTCCAAACAGCTCTCTCAGAGGTTGGTACCGCCTGTCTTGTCATGATGTCTCACTCTGTTACCTACCAGTCCTGCTAGAGTTCAGATGCACAATAGGATGGGGCTTTGGAAGAACTGGATGTGAGACAGGGTGCAGGCCTGGGCGGAGCAGAAACATGCGCTTCTGGTTAGCGGGCCTGCGCGCCAAGCAGCATTTCCCATCTTCTGTAGGAAGAGTAACCTCTCTCACTGCTTCTGCCTGCATTTTGTTTTTTAAATATATTTTATTAATTTTTTACAGAGAGGAGGGGAGAGGGATAGAGTTAGAAACATCGATGAGAGAGAAACATCGATCAGCTGCCTCTTGCACGCCCCCTACTGGGGATGTGCCCACAACCAAGGTACATGCCCTTGACTGGAATCAAACCTGGGACCCTTGAGTCCGCAGGCTGACGCTCTATCCGCTGAGCCAAACCGGTTAGGGCTTCTGCCTGCATTTTCTATCATTTAGGTAAAGACTGCTGTTAAATTTTAGTTAATAGGAAAAATTCCAGAAACCTCCAAAAGTAAGAAATTATTCATAATCTTATCACTTAAAAAATTACATAGCAAAATGAAAATTCACTCCCCCCATAAATAACGACCATTAACAGTTTAGGAATTATTCTTTCTGACTTTTTCTTTTTTTTAAATATATTTTATTGATTTTTTACAGAGAGGAAGGGAGAGAGATAGAGAGTTAGAAACATCAATGAGAGAGAAACATCGATCAGCTGCCTCCTGCACACCCACTACTGGGGATGTGCCTGCAACCCAGGTACATGCCCTTGACCGGAATCGAACCTGGGACCTTTCAGTCCGTAGGCCGACACTCTATCCACTGAGCCAAACCGGTTTTGGCCTTTCTGACTTTTTACCCTGGGTCTTACATGGACATGCTTGTGAGTGTGTGTGTGTGTGTGTGGTGTGTGTGGTGTGTGTGGTGTGTGTGTGTGTGTGTGTGTGTGTGTATATATATATGGCTACTTACCCCCATTGTCAGTGCATATGAGTTAATGATATTAGCTCATCTGTTACATGGCAGTACACTGTGGGGCGGGACAGGAGGGGGACGTTTTGATGAGGGATGTATGTGCAGGAGCACAGGGCTCAGCCCACTGGGCACAACCTGAGGCTTAGGTCCTTGGGAGATGCCAGGTTTCAGTGAAGGCTCCTCGCAGGAATTTGGGATACATTGCTGTGTTTGTTCATTAACATCTGTACCCTGAGCTTTCCTTTCTGGGCTGCAGTTGCTATAATGATAACGACAATACTGTAGAGGTGAGGGAAACGTGAATGAAAACAGTGAATCAATTGTTTTTAGCATCTTCAGCAGATAAACACTGTTGATGTGC